GTGATTCTGTCTTCAGCCCTCCACTCATAACACCTTGCATTCTGGAAAAATAAGACATTTGTTTTGTGAATGGGTGAACATGAGAAAGGGGGGTGGGGTGGCCAACAGCATGATCCTTCACAGCTGTGGCCTCTTGTCATTGCAGCGCCGAAAGATCACCGCTGAGGGGAGCAGGACCTGAGGGGCAGCAGCAGTGATGGGAGGATTTTCACAGTAACCAGCAGGAACATGGGATATACTTTATCAGAGGTAACTTATGTGGCTGGTGCTGTATACAGAAATGAAATAAAAATCTGATAACTGGATACACTGCCCCATTTATGTACTTTATCTGGGTATTTAGCAGTTTAAATGGGTTTTGTTTAAACAAAACCCTTTCTTAGGAGAAAAGTAATCCTCAAGAACATGCATGGTGGGGTTTGGTCCGTCAGTACAGGTCTCCCTGCATTTTTCACCTTGGAAGACACAAACTCTCCGACCCCATTCAGTGTGAATTCTCTACTCTTCACTATTTGTCCTAGTATTAACGTAACTTTGTTCCCAAGTGTCTTTTATTTTTCTGTACTCCGAGATCGCTGAAGAGTGACCTAAAAGACAATTTCTTTGGCTGTCTGTGGAGTAGGTAGGAGTGATGGTCTTTGATAATGTTTATCGTGGCAGGTATTTATTTAAAGAATATTCTACAATGCTGTATCCCCTACCCTACATATGTGCTTGGCCTGCTAATGTCCTTCAAATATATCTGGTCTTGTTCCAGGGAATGGAATACTCCAAAATGGTGTTTCCAATATGTCAATCCTGGTGTCCTCCCATGTGCCAGTTTATTTTCCAGCTACAAGAGAATCTACGCAAATCTCTGGAACAGGTGACGTTCAAAAAGCGTTATAACTTTCCTTATACTAGATTATTAGTTTTAGGGTTTTCAGATGCTTGTGTTGCGCTAATGTGCGGTAGAACATTGAATGGCAGGGCACTATGCAATAACAGCAAGTGGACGTTGGTACATGGTGTTTGTGCTGCACCATGGGGGGGCCGGGGTTGGTTGCTGAGGCAATACTCCTGTCTTTCCTCATGGTAACAATGCTGTTCATGTATGTGTTTCATAACGATTACTATGTTTTTAGTATTACAGAATTTAAATGGTTTCTGCTACATCGACTGAGACCAAATCTATTAACAAATTCTTTCACTTTCTATAGGTTCCCCTGTCCACTCTGGAACACGGGATCGTGAATGGGTCAGGATCACTATTGTAGTTTCTGCTCTTGTTGCTATATTAATGGTGGTTTTTGTAAGTAAAAAATGCAAAGCTCAGAAATAAAACTGATGAACACACAAGCTTATTAAGGCCATTTTATGAAACTTCTGTTCAAGGTCTAGTGTGCTTTGTGCTTGTAAATCCATTGGGGCCTATTCACACTCGCGTATTTTCACCGCCAATGTATTTTCCATGGAAATGCATCAAAATGTGACTACAGGACAGAGCGGAGTTTTTTTTTAAGTCTCCCATTGCACACCTGACCGATGAATCCCAAATCTGTGATGGGTGCTGTGTTGACAAGCAGATGGCGCTACACAGGAGATAAGTCTGAGCTGTTCATTAACAAGTCTTTGTTATGAACGAGCATCAATAAATGTTTCAGGGCCACACGGGGTCCCTTCATTAGACAAACTGTCATTGTGACATCTCAATCTGAAAACTGGGATGTATGTGCAAGCTCTCAGCCAGACTTCAGATGTCACCGGTCAGAAAACAGGATAACAGATTTGTATTGAGGCCCCTGGGAGCGCCAGTATCAAGAGTATAGATCCAATGGGCTTATGGTTTTCGACACTCCTGTGCACACATGAACTGTTTTCACCTCCATGCTATGGCGATTGTGCCTATTGAACATCGCTACTTATGCCCAAAGACAGGTGGTATAGGCCTCGCTCCACACCCCTCCAAAGTGTGCGGCTCAACCCCTGACAACAAGCAGCTTGGTGAGCGACTTCTGAGATGGGTGTCACTCGTGGGCTGTAACACAATGATGAATAAGGAGGCTGCCATCTTCACTCCCTGGGGGAGGCATAACCTCTTATGGCAAGTGGTTCAGTAAGTGTCTAGGTCCCATGGCAATGACTCGGAACAATGTATATGCTCTTTGGTAACCATGTTAACCTTGAGTTTCTGAGCTCAAGACAGATTCAATGTGGGATGTGGGAACATTTACATTTTTTTGTATCAATATTGTTCCGCATTATAGTGATATTCTGTTACATAAATGCCACATTGTCATGTTATAATGATGTCAATGGGGTTGTTAAGGAGCTTTTTGTGACTATTTATTATATTTTTTGGGCGGAGGGGTTTATTGATTTCTGCACAGGTACATTTGTTTGTTTTGCTGTGTTCTTCACTCACTGTCACATTGGCGCCTGATGAAGGGACCCTGTGTGGCCCGAAACATTGTTTTCTTTGTGGTATTAGGAACGAGTGTGTAAATAAATAAATACCTATTCATTCATCAGAGTGCTGGTGACTTATTTTCCCAAAGGGCAGAGCTGACCTGTGCCATGTTCACACAAGGAAGGTCAGGAAAGGAAAACTATGCTAGGTATTTGAAATGACAATATTTAATTTCCTCGGAACATCTACATGACCTATAGGCTGCCAAATGAAATGAAGGGTTGCAGGTCACCTTATCTTATAAATGGAAGGGTTTTGAGGCCTGTGCAAATGCAGGTTTTCGTTATCTTCAGGTTTTCCTGGATTTACAGTCGCAGTTTTTCTGGCCGTTGCACTTTTTACGATACTTGCAGCTGCAACATGCACTGTAAGCACATGGTTGTATTTTGCCTTTTTATTTCTCATTGCCTTTCCTCTACTGTCCCCCATTGTCCAGTCCACTGATTATTTCTGCACAGGTACATTTGTTTGTTTTGCTGTGTTCTTCACTCACTGTCACATTGGCGCCTGATGAAGGGACCCTGTGTGGCCCGAAACATTGTTTTCTTTGTGGTATTAGGAACGAGTGTGTAAATAAATAAATACCTATTCATTCATCAGAGTGCTGGTGACTTATTTTCCCAAAGGGCAGAGCTGACCTGTGCCATGTTCACACAAGGAAGGTCAGGAAAGGAAAACTATGCTAGGTATTTGAAATGACAATATTTAATTTCCTCGGAACATCTACATGACCTATAGGCTGCCAAATGAAATGAAGGGTTGCAGGTCACCTTATCTTATAAATGGAAGGGTTTTGAGGCCTGTGCAAATGCAGGTTTTCGTTATCTTCAGGTTTTCCTGGATTTACAGTCGCAGTTTTTCTGGCCGTTGCACTTTTTACGATACTTGCAGCTGCAACATGCACTGTAAGCACATGGTTGTATTTTGCCTTTTTATTTCTCATTGCCTTTCCTCTACTGTCCCCCATTGTCCAGTCCACTGATTTTTTTTTTTTTAAAACTACGTTTGATCACCAAGGCAAACTCTGCGCACCTCCTATCAATCAGGTCCAGAGTGGAGCTCAGGTGCCAGGATGTGGGTGACAGAGGAGCATTGGAGGTAGTTCTTGTTTGCTCTCGTTTCCACACATGATGACTCAATTGTTTATCATGCATAAGGTGTCATAGTACTTGGTTTTCAATGGGGTTACAGAGGGCCTCCTCTGTGCAGCAGAAGGTACGTTAAGACACCTTCTGTGGCCCTGTCCTAAACTCCATGGATGTTGAAAATCTATTCAAGAAATAAATCTGTTGTACTCTATAGAGCAGGGGTCTCTAACTCATTTTAGTCGGGGGCCACTGGACACTTTTTTTAGTTCCATGGGCGCCGCTACTATATACGGTACCAGTTTTAATGTATGCACATGTTACCAGCGACAACTGTCACCGATTCAAATTAATGATCGGGTGACAGCTGCTGCATGTAAACGCCTGCACACTGCATGTAATATGTGAAGGATTACATGCAGTTAAGAATCAATCACTATCCCTGGATACACAATTGTTTATGCAGGGATAGTGATTGTTTTTGTAACTGCATGTAATCATATCGCATTACATGCGGTATGCACATGCAGCGGCTGTCACCTGATCATTAACTTGAATGCGTGACAGTTGCTTTTTCCCCCTCCTTTCCTTCCAAGCCCCCTCACCTGCTTGCATCTTTGCAGGGAGGAGGCACATCATCGGTCCCTGGTTATCTAGTGGTGATTAGTAAGGTCTAGTGAAGACCTTACTAATGCTCCATCACTGCTGGATGTGTAATCCTATATAAAGTTTGTGCTTCGTGTCTATGCAGTGCATATGGAGGCCTGCTTGTTCGACAACTGCCGAACGGGCCGGTGTGCGCACACTGACCGTTTGTAGTCATCGGAAGCCTGCCCCTCGGGGGCGGGCTTGCGATGATCGCAAGTACGATCTGCCTGTCCAAGATGGGCAGATCGGAAGTTTTTTTAAAGTACTTTACAACCCCGATGGTTGTAAAGTGTATGGGCACCTTAACAGAGATTTTCCTTGGGCCAACATGACAAGACACACCCACTTTTAAAATGAAGGAATGGCCCATTCACATTATTGTGTTGCTGTAGCATATATGGCAATGCATGCTACATGCACTGAAGTGCCTTTCAGATTGAATCATGTGGGTTGGGCTGCCTTAACACAATGCACACTGTGCATTAAAACACACTGCAAACATGTAAATGGAACCTAAAAACATTTCAAATCACCAATTTAAAATACAAGGCAGTTCCAGTGCAGTGACATTTATTTAACAGTTTAGCACTGAAAAGCAGGAAATTCCAAGTCTTCAGCTTAGCTGTGCACAAAAAATATTTACATTGTAGATAGAAGTTTCCTTTACATTAAACAATCTTTTTTACACACACAAAAAAAAAATCTTCTGCAATTGTCACACTTGTGTTGTAGTTGTGGCATGTTGATGTGTTGCAGTACAGTTTAGTTTTAGGGTCCATAAAAGGCAAACGACAGAAAATGTTACAATGGGGAGACATTCATTTCAGGTCTCGTTTCAACTTCTGGAGGATTCTCTCTCGTTCTATATAAAGGTTTTTTCTATGGAGAATACGCTGCATTCTCCGGTTCATTCTTTCACGCTCCTCTTCAGAGATATCTCGTTGTGGTGGAGGTACCGACTGTTGTTCCAAGCATTGGTTAATATGTTCTCGCTTCTTCTCTACACTTTCCTGGGTGACATGAAAATTACAAATCCCATAAAAATTAGAAAGCTGGGGAAGCGAGGGGAACTCTCCCCCAAAGATAATACGAAATCACCTGCACTCCATACAGACCCTAATAGAAGGTCGATGCTTGAAGTGACAACACGGATGGCCCGGTGTCAGATACAGTCCATAATAGAAGTCACCAGCACTCAATGATGTGTGCAAGAAGTAACGCACTTTTTTATTAAACTGTCACATGCGTCATACAGCCAAAGTTTCGGGTCCACACAGTGACTACTATGTCGCCCAGAAGGGACCCTGTGTGGCCCTGAAACATTGGCTGTATGACGCATGTGACAGTTTAATAAAAAAGTGCGTTACTTCTTGCACACATCATTGAGTGCTGGTGACTTCTATTATGGACCCTCCCCAAGAGACACATACAAAGAATGAAACATAAAAGTAGTAATAGCCTTTATGGTCCAAAACAAAATAAAGCAATAATTGTGGCTTCAGAATATCACACTTAGATAGATAGATAGATCGATCTATAGACACACCCCCCACACCTTGCTTATAGGTTCCAGTCCTGTGAGCTATAAAGGAACACTGAGGATGCCCACCTACACGAGTTCTAGCGCTGTAAAATCCATTCTAGAGGTGCCCATACACCTTACAATTTATCTGCAGATTTTCTATGGTCAGATGGAAAAGGTGCAACAGATTCCTTCATCTACATTAAACTGTGTGGCTGGAGTAATCTCCACCTGGGCCAATCTGTTGCACTTTTTCCATCTGACCACAGAAAATCTGCAGATAATTGTAAGGTGTATGGGCACCTTAAGACATCACAGATTGAAGTCGAGATAGAATGATTGATGGATACTTACCTCTAGCTTAGATTTCTTTTCGTCTGTTTTTTCAATTTGAGTTTTCAAAGTAATCACGTCATCCTATGCAGAAAAGAAAGAAATATCCATACTAATGTATATTGTTCTGATGGCACATTGCATTAAATGCTAATGATCTAAGCCTTGTAAGTACAAAATAAACGGACATTTGAGGTCTAAACTTTAGACAAACCACTGTTGTGAAATCATTTACATGAATACCAGTGCTCCTCTTAGACATTGGAGCTACACCTGGCCATAAAATGTCACCAAGCTGCATGATCAGACCCCCCTATAAGATGTCAAAGGGAGTGCCTGAGATCACCCACCACAACATGTATATGTAACAATGAAAGAATACTTACTGACAAAGGGCTATCAGCTCATTCACGTGCACTTTAGTATTGTTATCACAATAGGTACCCAAGTGATATACAAGGTAACACACTGCAAGACGTACACAGCATTCAAGAGTTTCTTAACAGTGTGAAAGCATGTCCATATGGTGATGCAGATGGATCAAACAGGCTAATCTAACTAACTACACAGGCTCACAAGGTACATCTTTACAGCAAAGGAACAAGAAGCTGCATCCAATAGGATTCATGATAACTGGAGAAAAACTAACCAATGCGCATTGTTTCATTTTTCCAGAGAATTTACGTGTGTGTGTGTGTGTGTGCGTGCGCGCGCGTGCGTGCGTTGCAGGCATTACAGAAGTAATAAAAGAAGTGCTCTTACATTCAGCTGCTGGATTCTCTCTTTTGCTGTGTTCACACATTTCTCGTAGGATTCAATTTTAGACATCAGTGAGCTGTAACACAAAAAGACACTGGAGCGATTACATATCTCTGCCTTCCTTTGGGAAGTCACTAGAAGGTCAGATTTGAAGTGCAGTGGGCTGACAGAGAAAACTGTAGCAAAACTGCATCAAAGTACAAACAGCCAGATTCCTTTTTTTTAACCTGTAAAGTGGAATGTAAGTTCTGATCAAAAGGAATCAACCAAAATCTCAGCAGAAACCAACACTTTTGGGGTTTTCAGTCTCCTGGTTCCCCACTGGACCCGTATCTCTACCTCACTACTGTGTCCTATAATAATGGAGGGTCAGCAGGAGGAACCGCTGAATGCTGCAAGGGGCACCCCCAGAAGTGTAGGCTTGGGTACAGATTACAGCTGCCACACCTCACCTCCTGACTAGACCAGCAGTTAGCAGTGCAGACAGCTGGAGGAGTAAATATTCACATTCTCCTTTACAGCTACAGTCTTAAACATTTGATCTTTGATTGTAAATGGCAGTCTAGGCAGCATCATGCGTAACAAGCATTTACAAAACAAATGACAAGCACTGAATACATTTCTTGAAGCCACAAAGCAGCCTTCAGCTTTAGTCCAGGTCTCTTAAATACCGATCTTTAAAGCTGAAAATTGGGCTGACCAAATATTGTCCAATTCAAGAGGCATGCGTGTGCCTAGTTGAATCGTGAGGTCTTCTCAACCTGTGTAACCTCACATTTGCCCTTGGTCATTAAGTCGCACTGCAATGGAACACACAGAATTGCGGTACAGCGCGTTCCGGTGCGAGCGATCAAACTGTGGGTGGAAGGTGCGTTTGGGATGCTGTAGGTCGCGATATACTGAGCTCTGAAACAGCAAAACGTTTCCAGGCACACTCGCCAGCCAGCATGCAAAAAAACCTGTCAAATCACTAAGGTTAAAAGTAGAGGTTTAGATACACATTATCTGCAGAAGACGTGTATCTAAACCTCTACTTTTAACCTTAGTGATTTGACAGGTTTTTTTGCATGCTGGCTGGTGAGTGTGCTGGGAAACTTTTTGCTGTTTTACTGTTTGAATCCCTTCCGTGTACACCTTGCTGTAAAGCTGGTAACGAATTGATGAGTGCGTTTGCCATTTGTTTTGCTATACTGAGCTTTGGGTCACGCAAGGAGGTTAGTATATGTCCTGTGACCCTTAGGAGAACTATGGGGAAAAACACTTACCCCATAGTTCTCTTTTACACCTGTGCTTTGTTACTGTTTGCTAAAGCTGATACTCATTACCCTAGTATATATAAGCAATAAAGATAAGCAATGCTTTCGTGGTTAGAACTTTGATGATTGGATTGTGAACCTCATTTGTCTGGCTCCAGGATGATGGGAGAGCACCACACGGAGAGAAAACAGACCCCACTGGTCTGTATTAAAATGACGACATGCAACATATTTTTATGAGAATAAGCACTAAGGCAGCTGCAGGGCAGAGCGGGGGAATCTCACTGACTGAGCCTCCTAGAGATTGCAAGCTGTTCTTTGAGTCATTCCATTGGTATCCACCCAGAAATGAAATACAGCTCTGGGTAGACCTTTCAATATACTAGAACCACAGGTTAAGGAATACATAAAACTGTAAGACATAGAAATGGAAGAATTGATGAAATTGAGAGTTAGCATATTATGAGCGCTGCTATGTACTGTGTAATAATCTGGAGGTAAATATAGTAATAGGTCTACCTTTTTGTGTCTTCTAAATGTCTTGTTACACTGCCTGCTTCTTCTCGTCTCCTAATGACTTCTTTCTGAGCTGCCAGTAGTTGAGCTCTCTTCTGCTGATGTACACTCTGAACGGTCAAATGGTTTAACTGCTTGAGAACATCTTGGGAAGACAGACCCTGGACACCAGCGACATCCTGTGTCCTGCTCAGGAAAGCTCTCCCTAGCTGCAGAGTCCTTGTGTAGGCCAATTTCTACAAACCAGATTGACAACAGGCTCATAAGATTCACAAGCTAAAAAGGCATGTTTACACCTATGTGTTATTATTATTATTATTACATAGTATTTATATAGCGCCAACAGTTTGCGCAGTGCTTTACAATATAGTGAAGACATTACAATCACAATCCAATCCAAGACAAGATGGTAAGGAGGGCCCTGTCCCTGAGGGCTTACAATCTAAAAGTTATAGTGCTTATTTTAAATTATTATCATTACTTTTACTGGTGCTCATTTTGGATATGTGTAATGTGTCGAAATGTGTTGTAAAAACCCTTTTCTCAGAGATCATGGAGGGATACAGCTTGATGATAATTAAGCAACCTAGGGTTATACTGCTGTATACAGAAGAAATTAATACGAAGCACATAGAAAGCTAAAGGTCAGGGGCAGCAAACCTCCGGCCCCCCCAGCTGTGGTGGAACTACAAATCCCATGAGGCATTGCAAGAGTCTCACAGCCACAGACACGACTCCCGAAGAGAGATGCATCATGGGATTTGTAGTTTCACCACAGCTGGAGGGCCGGAGGTTTGCTACGCCGGCTATAGGCTCTCCCACCTGCCCGGGATGGATTAGTGTTCTTAGAAAAATGGATTTCTCTTGCTTTTTTGCTACAATTTTCTGCTTATATTACAAGGTTTTTATATCCACAGCTTTTGGTGGATTCAGACTAGATAATGGAAATCCTGGAAGTCTCTCCAGTTAGCCAATGAGCACAGATTTTTCCAGTTCACCAAGTACACTCTGAGGGTCCTGCAGTAGGTAGTGAGAAACCCTTCTGTGTTCCAATTAGCACAGGACTCCGCTATCCAGGTCCAGCTAGTACTTACCGGGGATTCCTGGCAGAGTTAAGCGGACCAGAGCTGTGGCCGTTTGTCTTTCCCCCATCTCTGGAGACTCATTGTTGTGAATGACTAGCAGATTTTATGCCGTCTTCTATATTGAACCCGCGTATTTGGTAGGTTGCTTAATGATCATCAAGCTGTATACCTCAATGAACCAGAAGTACATTTTTTAGGCATTAAACACAACTATGGAGGTACATTCAATTCAAAGAAAGTGCATGTAAAACGCAAACATTTACATTTAAGTGTGCAGGGCCGGATTAAGAGCATCACAGGCCTGGTGCTGAGGATTTTGGTGGGCCTTTTTATGGAAATGGCGATGGTCACCGGGGCTCTCTTCCTCCTGTCCGGGCTGTGATTTGTAGTCTCTCTACAGCTTGGAGTCAGTGGTGGAGCGCCAGGGCCCGGGTTGCAGCTGCGACCCTGGTAGATCTGTCACTGACTCCAAGCTGTAGAGAGACTAGAAATCTTAGCAATACATTATACAGCAATGCAGAATACCGCCAACTATAGAGGACTACAAATCCCAGCAATACGTTACACAGAAATTCAGAATATTACCAACTATAGAGCACTACAAATACCAGCAATAAATAATACAGCAATGCAGAATATTACCACTAACTGTAGAGGACTACAAATCCCAGCAATACTTTGTAAAGCACTGCAGAATAGTACCATTAGCTATAGAGGACTACAATTCCCAGCAATATATTGTAAAGCAATGCAGAACAACACGATCAGCTACGGGCTCAAGGGGGTGCAGAGAGACAGGCGACTGCAGCCGCAGCAGATGCAACTCTCTGCTCAGGCACATCAGAGGACCCTCCAGGTCAGCTCGGCCCAGACGCTAATAGGCCCTGCGTCGGCTTGGCCAAGCCTATTAGCAGGGGCGGGCCTGGAGTGGGAGCTCCACTCGCCCCTATGTTAATCCGGCCCTGCAGGTGTGAATGTGGCTTAATGCAAACAACCAAACGTGCAAATCATGTAATGCAAAAAAACACATTAAGAATGCCGACATGGTCAAGAGTACATATATGAAACTGTAAGTCTGCAAGTATGTGATGTCTAAAGTAACTAAAAAAAATGCATTATACAATTACCATCCTATGAATATCCTCTTCAATCTTATCCCTCCTGGCAATGAGCAGTTCTTTGTCCTGGTTTGCTGCTGCAAGATCCTTTCTTAGACAAAGTAACTCTGCCTAGAAAAAAAAAGCCAATTCATATTGAATCATACTTCAACATTCCCTCAACCTAGTCATTAGTGGAGAGCATAGAAAGCCCCAGTCTCTAGTACTTATATTGGTGACCACCGTTTCATTTCTGCAGCAACATTGAGAGTTCATGTACTCTGCACAATCTTTGCTACATTTTCAATTCCTGGGCATGAATTAGACTTGTCTGGACTGCTACAACACTTGTAGGAAAATGGATTTATCGCCATGAATAGGTTAAAAAACAAACAGATTTTGCCTATCATGTTTCCAAGCCAGCAGGACGGGCAAGATGGCAACAGAAGAGCACAGGGAACAGATGTAATTTCCCCAAAATGAGAGTTCTTTGAATGGTAACTCCAGACAAATGGTTTTTATTATATTTTGAATAGAGGGGGTGTACAGTAATACCTTGGTTTACAAGTAACTTGGTTTGAGAGCGTTTTGCAAGACAAGCAAACATTTCTGAAAAATTTTGCCTTGATATACAAGCAATGTCTTGCAATAAGAGCAAAATTTTGTAGAAAAGTGCCACCCGAATAAGGCTGTAGCAGTGCGAGCGAGGAGTCTGTTTAATGCAATGTCACATTGGATAGATTCCTTTTTAAGGTTTCACGAAATGAAAAAGATTCCATTGAGTCAAGAGATAGCAGTGATTCCGCTAGTGATAGTGAAAGTCGTCCTACACAATAATCCTCCTCTCTCTTGTCCCCCTCACACCAGCCACAAAGGTACCAGTAATTGGTTTATTTTTCTTTATTTATACAGTATATTACAGTACAGTATTGTAATCATTTTTATATGAATATTTTTGGGTTGTGGAACGAATCCTCTGAATTTCCATTATTTCCTATGGGGAAGTTCGCTTTGATATACAAGCGGTTTGGATTACAAGCATGCTTCCGGAACGAATTATGCTCTTAAACCAAGGTATTACTGTATTAGAAGACGTGTTTTGACTGCTGTCTGTATTCTTTTACTTCATACCCCAGACTCCTGTTACTGGGACAGGAAGTCAGATGAATGCAATACTGACAGCATCTTCAACCAAATAGATGTACCATGCCAGTTCTATGACAAGCAAAAACTTTTCCTGAAGTTGTACATTACAGCGACACTATAATCAGTAATTACTCATTTTAAAGAAATGAATTGTGATCTAATGTTTATATTTTCAGCTTTCTCTCCCATATTTTCATGACCAATATATGGGTTCTCTCCCTCTCTTTAGCTTCTATCTGCACAGTACATGGGTGCAATGCAAACAACATCTCAAACAATTAAGTCTTAGCTGATGCAAAGGAGCAGTAAAAAAGAGCAGTAAAGAGCAGCAATGTGCTGTGTGTGTATGTATGTATATATAATCTATCTATCTGAAGACAAGCCTTTAAATGTGTGATTGAGGTGGTCTGGTTACCTTCAGTACTTTAGCCTTCTCTTGCATTTTCATGCACGTCAGGAACTCCAGGTCTTCACTGCGACATTCATAGCCAGGCATCTTTTTTAATACTCCTGAAATACGCATTTGATTCAACCCTGTGCCAAAATATAAATAAACACTTATTTCCTCTCATACACACATACCCTGTTTAGTATGGAATATAGTATTGCCAAAACAGGAGCATAAAACATTAGGCTTACAACAGAAGGCAAAGTGCTATAACTCTGAGCAACCAATTTGTTCATTTCCCAGTAATGGTGCTAGTAAACTGAAATGTGATTGGCTGCAATAGGTAACCACACTATTTCTGTCTTGCATTTTGTAGTGCGCATTAACCAAGTCTTACATTGTAGGGAAAATATGCTTTTTGGAGTGAGGGACACAGGAAGTCTTAACCCTTTTTCTGCCAGGCTCTGCATTCCAGTTTTAACCACAGGTGGCCTGACCATTTTTTCACCTTTTTGTATCATTTACACACATTTACTATCTCCCCAGTTATAACTGAATTGAAAGGCATGGACAGATCAGATCTGCGATAGTGGCAGGGGAGTCTCCAGGCTTTGAATGAATGGCTGTGATCATCGGTTTGTCAGCAGATGATGACAGCTAATCATTTACTCAGAACAGTGCTGGTGACCCTACTGTCATAAGTGTATGGTCGTTAAAGCGACCCTGAGCTTATAGCCGGAAGGAGAATGCTGCCGATGCAAGGCATACTGACCAGCTGGATGTGGTCCTGTTCCACCGCATGATTTACATCTATGGCAGTGAAAGAGTAAAACTTTTGGGTTATACTGCCACCTCCTTTTGGGAGGTCTGCACACTGGCAAACAAAAAAAGTGTACGCCAGCAGAAGATAATCCCTCCCACAACTGGCATGCCTCAGTTTTATAGCAAAGCATTCCCGAGAGCATGATCATAAACACATAGAGGTGGGATCCATGTTCCTCGATGAACTTCAAGAAAAGGATTTTACATGAAGTTCGAAAGTCGCATTTTCTTTCTCTTTCTTTGAAGGACACAGGAAGTCGTAAACCTTAGGGTTTAAAAGCAGTCCAAAAGAGAGGTAAGCAAACAATTGCTAACAGGCCAAAGAAAAAAAACAAACAGAAATACTGGGGACTGACTGCAGCTCAAACAGTCGCCTGAAGGACCCAAACACGCCTTAAAGGATAATTCAACCCTCTGGGATTTTTGCATATATCTACTGCTAGCAAGCAGTAGATATATGCAAAAAACATTAAAAAAAAAAAAAAAAGTTACGAAAAAGGGTTAAAACTTGCCTGTGTCTTCGCCACGTGTTCCCGTCCACAGATCTGAAGCTTCTCGGGCGGCCTCAAAGGTTCATGGAGCGAGCACATGCGCAGTAGCAGATGTTTGGACGGGAGAAGAGGAGAGATACAAGGTAAGTCAATGGAGGCAGCGTGCACCTGCAAAGACTCCATGGGACAGGATGAGACAGGAGACAGCGCTGGCGGGACTCCTGAAAACTACTGGAAAGAAGAAGATGATCGGATCAAGAGGCATCATCTAAGGCAAGTCCTTACACCAGCACTGGGGGTGAATTTAGGCTTTAATGTCACTTTAAGATTGGGCCAGTGTCCACCTTGTAGAATTTAAAGGAAACATAAGAGCAGGTGGCAGACTTGCAAAGTGTTGCCTGATGCCGAAAAGTCTAAAAGCACTCACGGGTCTATTAGTGTGACATAACAACAAAGGGTGCAACCTAATCCTTGAGACCATAAGCATAAATGATCTGTCAGAGCCACCTAAAGATAATGGAACAAGAAGCCATGGCACCCTTATGGAGTTAATCCAAAAATACAAAAAAAAAAGGAATCAGTCTTCCTGAAAGAAGGTCTATCTGAACCACCTAGAGACGGAGAACAAAAAGCCAGAACACCTTACAGGGTCCATCCGGAATTATAAAAAGAGAATCAGTCTTCCTGGAAGGTCTATCTGGACCACCTAGAGACGGAGAACAAGAAGCCAGAACACCTTACAGGGTCCATCCGGAATTATAAAAAGAGAATCAGTCTTCCTGGAAGGTCTATCTGGACCACCTAGAGACGGAGAACAAGAAGCCAGAACACCTTACAGGGTCCATCCGGAATTATAAAAAGAGAATCAGTCTTCCTGAATGAAGAAGGTCTATCTGAATCACAAGAAGCCAGAGCACCTTACAGGGTCTATCCGGTATTACAAAAAGGAGTTAGTCTTCTTGAAAGAAGCAGTAGCTGAGAAACTCTCACAGCCGGAACCAGACAATAAACAATTAAGGGAAATTTCCTTGTGATGAACTGGAGCCGGACAGAGGGAAGGAAGAACAATGTTGAGGCGGTTTGAATGGTTAAGGTGAAAGGCAGAAAGTACCTTAAGTTGGCCATACATTAAGCAAATTTGGGCCGGTTCTTGACGAACCGGACAAATTTACAAAGTGGGTGCCGCTTTAATCTGGACCAAGATGTGGAATGACATTTCAACTGCAATAAGATGATAAACTACAGTGATACTGTATAACAGCCACTGTTTTCATTGGCCAGCTCATCCAGTAATAGACACAACAGTGGATCAGAGTTTGTGCCTCCGTTTACTGGAGCTCTGTAGAAGGCTTCATGTTACTAATGGGAAAGGCCCAAGTTAAACAATACTTTGCAGTGCTAGCTGAACTGCATTCACCAAACAAACGAGAGGGCATAATGTGGGTAATATAGTCATTTGCCTTACATTTGTATGGACAGAAATGAGAAAGAAGTCAGATCACCTCATTTCATTTCTATTGTTAAAAAATAATCCAAAAACTTTCAAATGAATGAATAAACACGTGATCAATTATTCTAGTCACTACTTCATTCAATAAAAGATACTTGCCTTGAACAGGTAGTTCACTTATTCTCCTGTTATTACAAGCCTGGTGGCTAGAGATGTTCCCCTTTTCAGTAGTTTCCTAAAAAATGAAATGTAAGTAAATATTCAAACATTCCATCTCCTGTACAAACTGAACCTGTGCATTCTGCATATATAATGTGTCTAAAATGAAAAAGAGCCAAAAGCTTCCACAACATAACTCCATGTGCTCCCTCCTAATGATTACAGCTTCTCATTGATCCAACATGCTGAAAGAGATGAAGGCTGTTAAGGGTTTGGAGATGCTCAGAAAACAGATGCTATAAGAATGTTTGCTAGAGGTCCCACACCATACACACCAAGCCACTACTGTGGGTATCTACGCCACGCAATCCACTTCAGCAACAAGGACATCTCAGTGTTTATACACTTCCTTGATTATCTAACATGTTGAAAAGGATGAGGGCTGTGCAGCAACCTGAAATGCTCAGCAAAAAAATACGATGAGACTGTTTACTAGAACATGAAAGATAGAAATCACCAGCACTGAGCAAATGAAATTCAAAGAATGTCCATTTATTTGGACTAAATGTCACACATATCGCACAATCCAATTCAATGGATTATGCGATATGTGTGACGGTTAGTCCAAATAAATGGACATTCTTTGAATTTCATTTGCTCAGTGCTGGTGATTTCTATCTTTCATTGACTGTAGTGCACGGCGTCATCCGTGATTGCCACTGCGAGCACCACTATTGCTATTTGCTATTGCTAATAGACAACTAGAGAGTCCTGAAGATACCTATGTCATACAATCAAATTCAACAACCAGGACATCTCAGTATCCCATAGCATACATGCACTTAACAGTGTTCAGCGGGCACTCAAGCATGGAGTATACTCAGTGAGAGGACTCACTTTGTATGCACTGATGTCAGACATTGGATCCTTACTTTCTAGGTCTTTCAAAGGGTCAGGCATGTTTAAATTGTCGTCATTTTCTAGAATTTCAGTTGTGTTACCTATAGCAGCCGTTGTACAAGATGTAAAGCAATGAAAAGACTCACGTTGTGTGCACTGATCCCAGCCACTGGACCCTCAGTGTCTATCTCCTTCAGAGTGTCAGATATGTTTACAGGCTGTACGTGACTTTGAGTTGTATTACATATTACGGAGTTGTTCACAGTCCGGCACAGTTTCTGTGTACTGTTAACATTCCTGGAATTGGGTTGAATCTCCCCCATTACATGACAATGTTCAGGCTCAGTAACCAGAGGGCTGTGTGGAAGACGCTTGCCAGAGGGTACTATGTCGTCTAATTCTTTCACTGGAAATGATCTCAACGGTTCAACTGACTCATCTCCAGGTTCTTGGGCCTCAAATTTCTGTGAGGGGAGCAAAGGTAGAACCCCAGGACCGGGAGAACGAGGAAGTTGGTGTCCAGTGTGTAAAATATTGCCAGGCGATGGATAAGATGAAGCCTTCAGTTTATATTTGTTCTTTACATGCTTCACTTTAGGATCACTTTCCCTCTCTTTACGCTTCCACTCTGCAAATTCCTTTAGAAGGTTTATGGCGTCTTCTTCACAAACTGCAGTTTTAGAGCCTTTCCAGCCCGATGTCTTCCTCTCTGTGTCTGGAAGAGCCATCCCCTGCAACATATAAAGACGTTTATATATTAGGAAGAAATATCTTTTTTTGTTTTTTTATTTAAGTGTATTAACTAGGAGGTGCACCGAAATGAAAATTTCAAAAACTGAACTTTAAAAAAAAATTGTCAGGCTGAAACCGAATTTTTTTTTTAATTTTAACGTTTAATTTTTTAAAATATTTTTTAAAATAAACTTTTTAAATATGTATTCATTTTTTATTAAATATTTTTATTGTTTTACTTTACTTTTAGGGGCTTCGGGAAAATATTAGGGGGGTCTAAACAGACTCCTGATATTTCCCTTTTAAAATAGAAAAAGAGATTGAGAACCTCTATCTCTTTTTCTGCAGCCTGTTATAAATGAACAGAAATCTCTATACTGAGTGTTCCTGTTCATTCATAACATGAAGACATAGTGGAGGGGATTTATCAAAACTGGAGCAGATTTGCACTGCAGCCAATCAGCATCTCTCTCTCATTTTCAAATCTTACCTGAGCAAACTGTAGAGATGCTGATTGGTTGCCATGGGCAACTGCTCCAGATTCTCTCTGCTCCAGTTTTGATAAATTCCCCTCCAGTGTGTTTACTATAACCACAATCATGAATGAACAGGAGGTGATGTAGATCCCTTCCCATTCATAATTGAGGATACAGTAACCATACTCTGTCCTCAATTATTTAGAAACACTCAGCGAACACTGATCACTGAGTGTTTGTACCGCTCTCCATCCTGACAGCTGTCACAGGAGGCTGAGCGGTGTGGGAGGAGAGACACCGGCTGCTCACAGCGCTCTCCTCCCGCATCGCTCGGCCGCCAGCTACAGTTTTTCTCCTTCCCGCTGGGACACAGAGCAGCGTCCAGCGTGGAGGAGAGAAATCACGGATGCACCGAGTATTAACCAATGTAGACAGTTCATGATCTGCCAGGGGACACATAGGTGCCATGGAACATACGTACCCATCAACAAAAGAAAAGACCCTTTAAGGCCCTATTCACACTGAGCGATTTATAGAGCGATTTTTGCAGCGATATCGCTCATATTTCCACGCAATATCGCTCTATGTATCTTCTCCAATCCATTTCAATGGAGCTGTTCACATCTCGTCGCTCAATATCGCTTGTAGCTCCTACATGACCCTTTTTTCGAGCGATATTGCTCCTGATTGCATACAGCCCAATAGGCGTCAAGTCGCTCAATATCGCGCAATTTTCATGTCGCTCAGTGTGAATGGGGCCTAATGGTAATAGCTCAGTTGGTTTTTGAGGCACGTCAGCTTATTGTTTTATGACTATTCAAAGTACAATGGGGGGAATTGATCAATACTGGAGCAGAAGAATCTGGAGCAGTTGCCTATGGCAACCAATCAGCTTATCGCTTCAGTTTGTTCAGTTATGGCTTGAAAATGAAAGGTGGATGCCGATTGGTTGCCATGCACAGCTGCTCCAGATTTTCATAAATTCCCCTCAATGTATGAAACTTACATGTGCATATTACAGTCAGCTAAATGTAAACTATTTTGCAGATATTATAGTAAACAGCCTTATTCAAAGAGTAGCAACAATAAGCAATATGAAGTAACAAATGGCAAACAGATTCCAGTCAATGCTGTCAGATCTGTTTTGATGGCATTCATGTATTACTGCCGACTGCACTTCATCATAGTTCTATGCACTCTTCCACTGAAAAAGCGTTGCAAGTGTTTTAAGACGCACCTGATTCTAACTATTTTCAGCCCCTGAACCTGCTCAATAGGGCTCATGTCGACGGCGTTGTTCTCCTGCATTTGAAACACAAGTCAAACGCAGGTCAGCAAATTGCCATTGACTTTCAGGGGTGTGGAATTCCTATCGCCCGACGCCCGGGACAGGCAGTTTCGGGCGCCGGGCGAGTAGTTTTTATGTACATTTAGCCCGGCTCCGGACAAGCTGAATTTGGAGAGCTGAATGTACATTGTGGAGCCGCCGCCACTCGTTTACTACAAGTGGTCTGATCAGACCACTTGTATCAATTTGAGCAGCGGCGATCGTTTCAGCCCGCACTCCCCCCCCGCTTTCCTGGGGGACCCCGTAAATGACGGCCCAGCCATAGAGCAGACGAGGAACGTCTGCTCTACGGGCTCTCTGTGTTCTCGGAGACCGTGGCGCTGTAATCACAGCGCCACCTGTCTCGGCTCTCAGGAAGTACACAGAACAGCTGTTCTGTGTTGGAGGGCAGGTTCCATAAAGAGAACCTGTCACCTCCAAAAATATCAAATAAGGGATTTTAATCTCCTATGTAATAGGAAGAACATTAAGTGGAAAAAGTAAATAAATAAAAATGTAAAAACTTTAAAAAATAAAATATATAAAGATTTTTAAAAAAATGAAAAAAGTTAAATAAAAATGAAACCCTGCTGCCCCCGCCATTTGCATGCAAATAAACGCATGCGTAGGACATTCTGCATGTGCTTTGATATTGCAGTAGCCAGAATTCTCTTACACACACACACACAATGTGCATTAAAGGGTAAGTTCATTTTCCCAGGTAATATGGAAAAATAAAAATTACCCGATTAAATCTGGCCCCGTCTCTCCCAAACCGCCACCCCCTGGCTATACTTACCTTTCGGCGAACAATCCCTCCCCTCCGCCAGTATGGGTGTACTATCTGTCCCCCGTACTGCTGTCCAGCGCAGTCCTCCCCTATGCATTTTGAATTTCGCTCGCAAATTGCAAGCACTCATTGGTCAACGTGGTCAGATGACTGCGCTGACCAGTGAGTGCACCGATACTAGTATCATTGCGATACAGAGTATTTGGGCAGGTACTTGTACTCACCCAAATGCTTAGATACCTTCCCTGATATTGGAACTTACGGCCAGATGAAAATTTCCTCTGACTGGCAGTGCCGTAGGGGAACATGGAGCCAGCTTCCCGTGCAATCAGGAAGCCGTGCCGCAAGTAATGACCCGCCTCCTGGTTTTCTGATTGGCTGGGAACCCGGCTCCTTGCTGACTGGCTGGAAAGCCGGCTGACTGGCCAATCAGCATCAAGCCAGTTTCCCGGTCAATCACGTCATTACTCGCCACCCGGCTTCCTGATTGACCGGGAAGCAGGTTTCCTGACCAATCACAATAAAGCAGGCCAAACAACATGGAGCCGGCTTCCGTGGCAATCAGGAACCTGGGCGGGATGTCATTACCCCCTGCCCGGCTTCCCGATTACCAGGGAAGCCTGCTCCATGCCAGCGGAAGCACCGGTATTAGTATTCAGTGTCGGCGACATCCGAAAGCAAAAAATCGGTACTCGATACCGAAAAAACGGTATTGGTGCATCCTTAGTTTTGATTAAAACAATTTTTTTGTGTTGGGACAAGTAGATTGCCATGCAGGACAAGTAGATTTGGCCCCCGCTTTAGCCCTTGGACAAGTCGTTTTTTTTAACATTTCCACACCCCTGACTTTAATTGAGCAGTACAAATGGCAGTTCAGGGGCTGCGTTTGATTTGCTCTGCTTTGCATTGTGTTTCTCTGGATGCAGCATGTTGAGGTGCATTTGAACACCAGACAAAGCAAATCAAATGCTGCATTTGCATAGTAAACGCAGCATTTGACAAGAACGTCTGTCGACATGAGCCCTTAAAGAAAAGCCAACAGTGGCAGCTGCCATATTTCTGTCCTATCAGGTTTCCACATAAATACTGAACAGCTGCATCACAAGAGTCAAAGTACATTTCTGACTTGCTTGGAAGCCCTTTTTAAAGCCTGGTGCGGGTGATAAACAGGAATAATGTGGCTAAAGATGCTACGGAGTATATTTAACGATTATGGCACATTTCCCATATTTATAGAGCACTGATATATACACTCATCAGGCTGAAAGCTCTTTTGGTGCTAGCATCACCTGTACAGCCACATAAAACCTACTATTGGCTCAGTTTGGTACAGAAGCCAATAGACCGAACAGTACAATTTGAGGATCCGCCCAGCTGCGTGAGTGACCGTACAATGTCTGGATCCGCCGAGCTGCGTGAGTGACAGCTGGCTCTGCCTATATAGAGGCAGAGCCAGCTGTACCTGCCCCCCTCCCCCGTCCGTTCTGCCAGTCAGCGCTTGAGGATCGGAGCGGGGAGGGGGAAATCTAGTCCCACCCCTGTCACGGCTCTCTGCCGTGACAAGATTGAGAAGTGAGCGAACGTCGGTATGTGTTCGGTCACTTCCCAATCTACTTAGCCGACCTGTGCCTCAAAACTGACAAAAATATTGTTACCTATAGCAACCGTTGTACAAGAAGTAAAGCAATGAAAAGACTCACGGTGTGTGCACTGATCTCAGCCACTGGACCCTCATTGTCTATGTCCTTCAGAGTGTCAGATATGTTTACAGGCTGTACGTGACTTAGAATTGAAGTTGTATTACATATTACTGAGTTGTTGGCAGTCCGGGACAGTTTCTGTGTACTGCTGACATTCTTGGTATTGGGGTGAATCTCCCTCAGTACATGACAATGCTCAGGCTTCGTAAATAAAGGGGTACGCTGCAGCTGCTTGCCAGAGGGTACTATGTTGTCCAGGTCTGTAAGTGAAAAAGATCTCAATTGCTCAAAACACTCATCTCCAGGTTCTTGCGGCTCAAATTTCTGTGAGGGGAGCAAAGGTAGAACCCCAGGACCAGGAGAGCGAGGAAGTTGGCGTCCAGTGTGCAAAATATTTCCAGGAGATGGATAAGCTGAAGCCTTCAATTTATATTTGTTCTTTACGCGTTTCACTTCAGGATCATTTTTACGCTCTTTTCGTTTCAACTCTGCAAAGTCCTTTAGAAGGCTTATGACATCCTCTTCAGGAAGGGCAGTTTTAGAGTATTTCCAGCCAGATGCCCTCCTCTCAGGGTCCGGAAGAGCCATCACCTGCAGTACACAAAGTCATAGTTTTATATCTGATACCAGTACTATCCTGTTTTTTGACAAGGGTATATTAAACCAATGTAGACCGAAGCCTGACAGCTGACCCTATGTGCCAGGAATGTGCACCCGTGAACAAAAGAACAGACCTCAGGAAATAAAAGCACTTTTACATACATTGCTCCACAATCTATACACATACACATTAAACATAATGCTTGTTAAAGCTTGAGCTGGAGCCATCATACACATTACATAGCTTTATAGGTTATTAGATTTACATAAGACATAACGCTTGTTAGAGGAGAACTATGGGGTTAGGGCTTTTCCCCATAGTTCTCCTTAGGGTAACGGGAGGACGCAAACTAGCGTCCTCCCGTCACCCTAGGCTCAGTATACCGTGAGCTGTAGCTCGCGGTATACTGAGACGCCGCAGCTGAAGCGGATCCCGACAATTGTGCCGGAATCCGCCCAGCTGCGTGACTGACAGCTGGCTCTGCCTATCTAGAGGCAGAGCCAGCTGTACCCGCCCCCTACCGTTCCGCCAGTCAGCGCTTGAGGATCGGAGCGGGGATGGGGGAATCCAGTCTTGTGACGAGAGCGCATGGAGTCGGCTTCCCGGCCAATCAGGAAGCCGGGAGAGCATGGAGCCGGCTTCCCGGCCAATCAGGAAGCCCGGCAGCGTGTAATGACGTGCTGCCCGGCTTCCTGATTGGTCAGAAGCTGGCCAATCAGGAAGCCAGACTTTCTGATTGGTCAGGAAGCCGGCTTCATGCTCCCTCCTCACCCCATGACGTCGGAGCATGGAGCCGGCTTCCCGGTCAATCAGGAGGTCGGGTGCTGCATCATTACATGCCGCCTGGTTTCTTGAATGGGACTTCCGGTACTTGGTATCGGTGAGTACCAAAAAAATATATATCGGTACTCGATACCGAAATACCAGTATCGGTGCATTCCTACTTAAAAGGTAAGGCACCAGCTCTAATATTTGAAGAAACTTGGTTACCTGGCTCCTGGGATTTGCCCAGCCCTGCCAAAGAACCTAGAACAGGGGGGTAGCCAAACTTCAGCCATCCAGCTGAGGTAAAACTAACACATCCCATTAGGCATTGAAAGACTCTGACAGCCATAGGTATGACTTCAAGAGGCAGATGCATGATGGGTTTTGTAGTTTCACCCCAGCTGGCCATGCCTTAGGTGCTGTCCAGTCTAATCTGGATGAAGTGATAATTAGGTTTTAGGTAATGTTACCTCTAGCCAACAATTATTGTCTGAAAAGGTTATCAGTTAGGGCCCGTTCACACCGATGCATGGTACCGTGTGATTAACGCACACTACTATCACGCAATGCACCTACCATGCATTACGGCAGGTGCATGCATTTGCAGTGGAAAAAAAGTAGTGCATCCCATTTGCATGCACTACTGCATGGAGCGCATTGTGGCCGGGAGGTGCGCGGGGTGCCATTCAAATGAATGCATACCCTGCACGGTTGATAGGGAGATTGCGGTTTGGTGAGATTGAGTTAAAACATCTGACTCTAGTTGGTATTATTAGTATGGAGATTATAATATGTATGATGGGATTGGTAGTTTCTTTGTGCTCTACTAACCCTTATACACCAGCCAGTTTAGAGTAAACCTATCCATCAGTGAACATTGCTTCCTGCATCTGTGTAGGGTGGAGTTTTTTAACACATTAAAGTGAAATACTGATGTGTATTTGTTACATCTATGAATAAGCCTGCGGGTGAAACATGTGAGAGGTTGTAACTGGTTGGGGGTGTGCAGTGCTGGCATTTGTTGCTTTATACACTTTTTTCACTGTTATACTGGATTTGCCATGAATTTTAATAAAGTCTGCAGTATTGGAATTCTTTGGATAGTGCAGTCTGTTCGTATACTACTACATTCCAAGGTGGAGACGCACCTATTAGACCAGCACCTGGGGAGTCCTGATGGCGGCTAAGGAATTGGAGCGGTGAGATTTCCTTTGGCTCTACAACGCAACGCATCTGCCACACTAATGCACGGTAGATGCATTGCACTAGAGTGTGCGTTAATCACAAGGTACCCTGAGAAGAACACACCGCAGCAGTGTGAACAGGCCCCAAGAGCTGGGTGAAAAATGCATCAAGTTATGTTTTCAGAGCTGGGCTCTGGAATAATGGTGGATAACAGCATGCGTCATGAGAGAAACACACAGACTATCATTATTGTTCTCTCCTTGATAAGGAATTCTGACTCAACTGATCTACATACATATTCCACAAGCAGTGACTGAGAAAGTAGTAAAGTCAGTAGGTCAGAATACCAGCCAGACAACTACCTCACATTTTGTGTAGGAGGAGGAAGGGTTAAAGCATTTCTAAAGCCAAGAATAAAAATGTAATATATTGCAGCTTACCTGCCCTTAGATGTGGTGGAAGCATTAGTCTTCTTTTTCATACTAAAAACATTTTCAGCAAGTACAGAATATACCTGATGATCCTGTCAGAAATGCAGTGTCCTTGTCACTTTGTGAGAGGTTTTTTTTTCACGTGTTGCATTAAAAGAAAGCTCCACCTTTGTGGCCATGTGTTATGTTATACCCATATTTAGGATGTTACATAAAACATGGTCAGAGTCTGCAAACCCAAATGCAGCTGCCACATCCAAGGACTGGTAAGCTGCAATATATTACCATCCTTACCATCTTGTCTGAATTGCATTGTGATTGTAAGGTCTTCCTTATAATGTAAAGCGCCGCGCAAACTGTTGGCGCTATATAAATCCTGTATAATAATATTACATTTTTAATACACTTAAGGGCGAGAAGTAGCAGCTGGTACGCTCTGTGTTGGACGCAGTGCATCGTACTGTAACCTTTTTAGTCCCCCCCCCAAACTTTATTAAAATGTTACAAAGTGACATTTCATAGAGTTCTATTCACTGCAGTGTGCGCTGATGTGCAGCGGTGTGCTGGTTTACATCATGCTGAGAAAAAAGGTACATCATGTAGTTTGTTTTTTTCCAGCAGCACAACAAAGTGTTGTGAACTGACATTATTGTAAAGAATGCCATATATGTGTTATGCCATATATATGCCAACAATGTCATATATAACACTGCACCAGGCAAAGGTGAACATGCCCTTTAAACTCCTGCCAATGTTTTTAGTACTACCTGAGCCGACCAATCCAGGTGACAACCGCAGCCCCATGTGTACAGGTGTTGGAGGGACAGGAAGTGAGGAGAAAACCTTCCTCAATGGGATCACAATCAGAAATAAAAACGTGACAGAAAATATAAGTTTAAAAAAACGAATGAATACGGCAAGGGTCAGACTGTATCCTAGTGCTACCCATCAGTTCATTGCCAACACATTGGTCATCTCAGACCACTGAGCGTATTTGATAAAAAGCGAATAAGGAGCGGGGGAGAGAACACACTACAGATGGGGGTGAGAATGTGGAATTATACACAGGGTGGGGGTTGTGGCGCAGAAGAAAACGAATGATTGGGGACACGTACACCAACACACACACACCTACCCGTTTAAAGTACTTCCGCCTTCCAATTTAATTATCCCGCGCACCTTCCCTTTCCGCTCTGGGAGGTCACATGATACAATGACCTCACTGGATGGGAACTATCGCGCTAAGCGGTTCCTGCTGGCTAATTGCCACGCCTATCTCTACTGTAGGCCAATCGTTTTCCGCTAATAACCTACGGGTACCCAATCGGCTGTAGCAACAGTGAGCTGTGATTGGCTGGCAGTTTTGTGGCTGTGCTGTGTGATGATGTTAGCGGGGCGGAAACAATGAGTCTGTTCTATGTCTGTCCGCTGAGTCTGAGCTGGGAAGGGAACACTCAGCAGAGGAGGAGACACACTCAACACAATCGCCACTATTATTCCCAGCCGGGGTGACTTTTTCCTGTGTTCTCTATATACATCCCTTATAAACTGGCAATGGTCCCTATGGTGAACTCACCCGGAACATAGCTCCCAGTTGTCCCTGTTCGAGGAATAGACAACACCTCCTTTACAACTCTGTCTTAGACAATGTCCCTCAGCTCTCATGTATGGTCCACCATAGAGATGAGTGGACGTTTTTGGCTGGAATCACATTGGTGTAGTAACACGTTATGTTATGACCATTTAAATGGGCTGCCTGGAAAAAACAGTGCATGCATTGCAATGCATTTGGATGCCATTCACACTGACTGGGACTGCAGTGCAGCAGTGTAGATAGCCGTATGAATCCGGCCTTAAAGTAGAAAACAGGCTAAACAATACACCAGCTTTGAAATGTTGCCTCCCCATACATTTTAGGATACATTGCAATGCAAATACCTTTTCATGTGGTCAAGTGGCTACAAAGCTCTGGTTCCTGAGTGTAAATATGAGGCTTGTGGGCATGAACTCGCTCCCTTACCCACAATGCCATGGACACCCATGGGTGTGGGTACGACTCTACATATTACCCCATTGTCACATTAAAACTGCCCATACATGGATCAAAATTCATCCAGATGAAATTCCAGCAGTATTCGGTCCTGCAAGCAGGGCCGGATTAACATAGGGACGGGTGGAGCTCCTGCTCCAGGCCCCTGCAAATAGGCTGAGCTGACCAGGTTGCGGCCGAGCTGACCCAGATCACGGTCAGGCAAGCAAACCATGCATCTGCGTTCCACTATTGAGGCATATCATAGGGCCCTCTGATGTGGTTGAGCAATGAGCCGTGGCTGCAGTCGCCAGTCTCTCTGACCACCCTGTGGCCCGCACTGACGACGCCCCCACTGGAGCCCGCACTGACCCCCCTTGGCACCCGCACAGCTCTCCTAAAACCCTAGAGACATCAGGCTGATTGTAAAGCACTGCAGAATAATACTATGTATTGCTGGGATGTGTAGTCCTCTATAGCTGGTGGTATTCAATATTGCCTTATTGGGATTTGTAGTCCTCGATAGTTAGTGGTAATATTCTGCATTGCTGTATAATATATTGCTGGGATTTGTAGTCCTCGATAGTTGGTGGCATTCTGAATTGCTGTATAATGTATTGCTAAGATTTCTGGTCTCTCTCTACAGCTTGGAGTCAGTGACAGATCTACCAGGGTCGCAGCTGCAAACCGGGACCTGGAGCTCCACCACTGACTCCAAGCTGTAGAGAGACTACAAATCACAGCCAGGACAGGAGGAAGAGGGCCCCGGTGACCGTCGCCATTTCCATAAAAGACCCACCAAAATCCTCAGCACCAGGCCTGTGATGCTCTTAATCCGGCCCTGCGTTTATCAGAAATCTATTTTATCCTCTGGGTGACAAGGTTCTGTGTGAAAGCATATAACAGATAAAATGTTTTAATAAGTAACATTTGTTTTGAAAAAAAAAATACAGCAATAAGAGCAATATTAGATGCACATTTTAGCAGGCCTGAATTTACCATTAGGCAGAGTAGCTCTCCATTAAGGGGTGCCGTGCAGGTACCTACACTGCCTAATTCTCGGTGTTGTGTCAAGATACTACACCGGCAATAGCAAGGAGGGTGCATTCTGCACAATATGCACCCTCCTACTCAAAGATCAGCGGCGCCTCCAGGAACCGCGGGCTTCCCTTCGTAAGGCTGTCTTATCTGACGCCTGGGTCCTGCTCTGCATATGTGAAAGCCGACAGGTCCCGCAGCAGGTAAGGGCACCAGCTCAGGCTAAACAGATTTCTATCTGTACCTAAGGGTGGCCAAAATTGAAATCTGGCCCTGCATTTTAGTAATTCAACCTTTTAATTTCAGATCTATAATGATCTTTTATGTTCTCTACCATTTACTAACACTGAATCTGCCAACACACTTTTCTGACCATCTCAAATGTAAAAAAAAAATCAGGGCTGTTTTAGAACAGCTTCCCCTAGTTGCTGTAGGTTACATCTTATTATTGGCTTTGGTAAGTAAAGCCTTTGCCATATAAATGCACCTCCACAGGTATTCCTATGCTGCTTCCTGGTAGTGTGGTAGTTTCTCATTGTTGTCACTAGATGTCAGTGTTGCTGCATCCCTGAGTTTGGCACTACAAGTTCACAAAATGTGCTATACCGGTGTGGAAACTGATTACATTTGGATTTTTGGGTCATTTCATGGTTTGGTGCTTTGTATCTAAAGCTGCAATACACATAAGAGCTGTAAAGAAAGTTAGCAAATGTCAGCATTCTTTAAGGCAGTCCCCAGCTGACAACCTGGCATATATGCCAGGCTGTATATACACCGGATCGCCGACGGGACTCCCGGAAGCCGGCGGAGAGGTGAGTGTTTTCATTAGCGATCAAAATTATTTTATTCAATCAAAATGTTTAACGATTAATCAAGAAATTAATCTTTAATTTCCACAGTGAGTTTGCCCAAGAAACTTTCTGCACGAGCACCAGCCAAGGCATTGGCCTATACACATACAGCACAGCAATGAAGTAATAAAATGGACTAGGGTCACACTAATCCAGCACGTTATTATTCTGAGTTGCCCCACTCAAGCGGCGGCCATATTGAGTGGGGCACGTGAGATTAATAACGTGCTGGATTAGTGTGATCCTAGTTCATTTTATTACTTCATTGCTGTGCTGTATGTGTATAGGCCAATGTAGTTGGATCTGTATGTGCGTTATAATTAATCGAAATTAATCGATTGAAAAAAATTTTGATAATGGAACACGAAAATGTTAATCATTACCAGCCCTAATAATTAGCTATAATTTCACACTGAAGTTGCTAGAGGGCCAGACCATTATAAATAGGGAAGCAGGTTGTTTACCACGACAGTAGAAGTGATTTTTTTCTGAAGATATGGGTAAACAACGCTATTTAACAGCCTTGGAACGTGGGATGATTGTTGGCGCAGAGCCTTGTGTGTATTCTGTGTACATTACAACTTTTCACGTTTGAATTTCCCGCCGGCTGTGACGCCCGAAAACGAAACTAAAAGTCAGATGCCGCCTTTTAGTTTCATTTTCGGGCCGTGTACAGCATAGGACGCCGCGGGCTCGCAGGGACAAGGTAAGTGTCACTTTTCTCTGCAGCCCCGAGTCTGGCTCGGGGTTAACGATCCTAGTATTTAAAATTAACCCCGAGCCATACTCGGGAAACACACCAGGGAGGTTAAAGACTGGACTGTCAGCTGAAAATCTGGGTCTGAACGTGCGAATTGTGGCCGTCAGCGACTAGTCAATGTAAGGCAGAACGGAGAGTGGCAAGACTGGTACAAGACAACAGAAGGGCAACAGTGCAGTGTCAGATTCCTTGCATCACCTTTCGTCATCCCGTGACCCAACAAAGTACTGATGGGGTGGTCATAATAATCTGGCCACTCAGTGTACATCTTGAATGTGTATGCATAGACAAAACATTTTCCTTAGTTCTGGATGGAGTACAGACGGATTAGAACCCCAGTTAGGTTTCTATTGCTGTGTCCTCATTGGGATGAATAAACCTTTCTATGGATCATGTGAACCACACAGAAATTAATGGTAAATCCCAAATTTTACAGAAGTCACCTAAACAAGAGTTGAGGGTTAATATTCCAATGGGGACACCTATTATTATTGACACATCTAAAGCTGGAGATACACTTATAGATTTTCGATCCGGAATTTTTATTGTTGCCAAGAACTCTCTTTCGATTCTAGCTCAAATAGCCCATCAAGCACAGACCAATGTCGATTTCGATAATCGTTCGTTAGCAATACTAAAGCTGGCCATACACCTATAGATTATCTGCAGATTTTCTATGGTCAGATAGAAAAAGTGCAACAGATTGCTCCATCTACGCTAATCTCCCGCTGGGCCAAACTTCAGTATCTTGCTAGTCGGTTCAGCTGGCTGTCAAAATACCTGAGCAATCTGATTGGATGCAGGCATTGGTCAGGTAATTTGACAGTCAGCGGGGCCGACTAGCAAGATACTGAAGCTTGGCCCAGTGGAAGATTCCTCCATACACACAGTTTAGCGTAGATGAAGGAATCTGTTGCACTTTTTCCATCTGACCATAGAAAATCTGCAGATAATCTATACGTTATGACCAGCTTTACTCACCAAATTTGTCGATCGACAGAAGGGATTTTGGTTTGCGCATGGGCAGTTTTCTTGCTGCGATTTTTTTCGCATGAAAACACCAGTAATCCAGCGATTTTCATACAATTCGAAAAACGTTTTTCAGCCTGACCGATCGAGAAAATTCGTCCAGAAGTACAGTAATTATAATCGTTGGTGTCCCATCAACTGATCGATTTTCGTTCGAAAGACCATTTGTGGATGATTTCCGAACGAAAATCGATAGGTGTATGGGCACCTTGAGAAGGAAAGTCTTCTCAGCAGAATGATCATGCATTGGAAGGTGGACATGGGCTTGTTTTTAAGAGCACCAATGATAGCTGTCAGCTCCACCAAATTTGCCACAATTTGGGTGCAGAGCATAACCTGATAGTGGTTAAGTTTTTGTTCTTTTATTGTCAACTTCCAGCTGCATGGCTAACCAAGCTGAAGGTAAGATATGTGTCCACCCCGCTCACCATGCATACTTCCCTTCTTGTCATC